TTGTTTGCCTCTTTGAGTGTGTATTGGTTAGGTTGTGGTGGTGGGTATGCGTGTGTGAGATATGCCATGCCTCACCATGTGGTTTTGTGCTTTGTCATGCTAAGTGTGTCTAAGTGTGTGTGTGTCTAAAAGAGAACGAGAGATGCAGCAAAGATCATATGTGTGTGTGTGTGTGTGTTGCTGCTAATGTTGGCGTTCACTGTGTGCCATCTGTGGACCAGTCAGAGATAAGCAGGGCAGCCAATAACAGCAAGACATGGAAATGAAGGACAATTGTGTACATGTGTATGTTTTCGTTACTCAGACTTAATGTATTCACTTACAATTATAAATCTTCGACCAAATGTCTTTAAAATTCCTTTTTTTGTTATAACCCTTTTTCCATAAAAACATCAGTTTATTTATCATTTAGACTTTTTAATGTGCGCTGCAGCTGTCAGATAATTCCAACAATAAGAGATTACATTTGAAAATGCAGCACTTGGTAAGTTTCAGCCAGTTGAACCGAGGATAGAAGAAAACTGTACCTTTTTTTTTTTTTGACACCCACATTGCTGACATTTAAAAAAAGTCACGAAAGAAGCAAGTGGACTCAAAGTGGACTCAAAGTGGAGAGGTAGAGCGCTGGAGTGAAGCCAGATCTGCAGAGTGGTATCTTGGGAACACACACACCGTCGCTTGTTAAAAAAGAGACCGCGTCAGCATTAAAAAGAAGCAAAAGCTTGAGTTACAAACAAGTTCTGTATGAATATATCTGTGTGTGTGAGCATGTGAGGGGAGTGGATACACACTTGATTAAAGGTGTAATTAAGAGATTGGGCACAGTGCAGGATTACCAGAATATAATGGAGGTAAATGTAGAGAGCAAACAATTGAGCGTTTTCAATTAACACTATAGCTTTATGGGTCCTGAAACAACTTAAAAAGGACAAATGATTGTATTTTGTGCTTCACTGTGACATGTTTACATGCTTTAATGCTTAAAAAGGTCTTTATTTTTCTCATTCTGTAAGGAAATAAATGATTGTATCCTGATTACGTTACATGTACACATATTCATATTATAAAGTGGGCCTTATTCTCCAGCATTGTTGTGCAGAGAAAACCTTATCCTGCAGATATCAGACTCTATAATAAGATTGCATCCCCGTATGAAAATGAATGATCTACCAGCTGTAGTCTAGCCTACACCTTCCCTGTAAGAATGGATTTGGATCCGGCCCAGTGAATGGCATTGCTTTCATTCAGGCTGTTCCAGGCCCCTCTGGCTCTCCGAGAGGGTTCCTCGCTGCGGTGCGGACACTGGGCATCATTGTTAGTTACACTGGAGAATAGATACTCAATGAGACGGGATGAGGATGAGGAGGAGAGGAATAATGAAAGCAAAGGAACAGTAGAATAGGGGCTCTGTAGCGGGGACATTTCTCTCTGTTGCATAATGATGCTGGTCCGTCACGACACAATGAGCACGCACACATACACACTGAGAACAGTAGACATGCAGATGGGGGCTGGAGTGTGTAAATGAGGTTTTTATGGAGTGAGCAGCTCAACAACAGCACATAATGTCTGTCAGCTCTTATTAGCAGCCTCTTCTAACACTTGTTCACTATTTCCTTTTGTTTGAAGAGGCCCTATAATGCTTTTTTGGGGTTTCCCTTTCCTGTAGTGTGTTATTTAAGGTTTTGTCAGTAGAGTAGAGTTCACAGAGCAATGTAGCTCTGTTATTGGTCCTGATGTCGATGATTGTGAGCCAAATCTGCATTTAAATTGGCATTGTAGCGGCCTTACATCTGGCGTATGTCTGCTAAACACCAGCTTGTCTGTCGGCCCAACATGTGAAAGCTCACCTTATGTGCTCAGTATTAAAGTTTAAAGAAAACGTGTAAATAAAAAACATGTATATAAAAAGCTTTGTACACCCTCTGGTGGTTAGTATTTTAAATTAACATCATCTCTCCTAAATGTCATCTGATGTTTTCTAAATGATATAAATGTATTGTCATCATTCCACCTTTGAATAAAGAATGCATTGTGATATATGAAAAGGCAGGTGCTTAAGCCCTCAATAATGCAGAGAGTGTATTTGTTAAGGGTGGCGTTTGAACCTCATATGTTTGGGTAGAAACAGCCCAAAGTCATATCTGTTCCTCAGCGGTGACATTTAGCCGCATAATGTAAAGCAAGTGGTTTTGGAAATGACAAATACCCCTACAAGGAGAGTCAGACATTTTAAAACCGGAGCTGCCGATGTCACGGAGAACGTAAAGTCCTTGAATGAGCCAGCAGAGGAAGCTCATTTAAAAAGCCCTGCAAAATGAAACCGATAAATCAGGGAGATTGTTTCAGTGCAGGAGAGATTTACTGTTCAGCCAACCAGCACCTGATAAAGAGAGGCAATACATGCAGTTTGTGAATGTGAACTAATGTATATGTGTATTTTGTTATTCTACTGTGACATGTTTACATGCATATATATAGGTTCACCTACTGAAGACAAAAGAAGTACATATTAAGCAAAGAAAGTGAAAACCATAAAGCAGATTCAGGCAGTAGGCGTCAGTAATCTGATGGCATCTTTGTTTATGTAACTATAAGGAAATCCAGTTCCTTTTTTTGTATCCCGATTACATTATTTGACGTAACGTCTCATGGTATGGTTTGTCTCTTGTAGATCTGAAGCGAGAGGCCAGTATCTGCCACATGCTGAAGCACCCGCACATCGTGGAGCTGCTGGAGACCTACAGCTCTGACGGCATGCTCTACATGGTCTTTGAATAGTAAGTCTGTCCGTCATGCACCATGTGAACCACTTTAGGGTTTGTTATTATACATTGTCTTCCTTCTTAACCTCCTAACCCCTAACTTATTTTTACCCAGCATCACAGCTGATCAGTCCCACGTACAAGATGCTGTTTTCACAATATATAGATGGGGTGTGATCATCTGAATAGGAGATGGAGATGTCACACCATTTCCCCAACACTACCAGCCCACATACCTTTAGTTGTTACATATGTGTAACTTTGGTGGACACCAAATATGTGTTATAACCAAAGTGTTGGGTTCCACCTGAAAAGCTATGCCTCAGTGTTTATGGTATATTCGCATTGTTTTTGTTGGAAATTAAAGACTATTATCATATATTGCCAAAAAGAGAAGACATATGAATCATAAATACTCAACACCCCCAAAGTATGACGTATAAATATTATTGACTGTGTATCTGATAATTGTTGTTTAACATATCCAGCAGTGAATACAAAAATGGCTCCACCTTTTGATGCCGATAACCTAGGGCTGCTCAATTAATCGTATTTTAATCGCAATTACGATTTTGGATTGCAACGATTATGAAAACAACGTAATCGAAATAAAACAATTATTTATTTTATTTTTATTTATTAAAAAAAAAAAAAATTATTGGTTTTTCAGTTGAATTATATTTAAAGTTCAGGGTAATCAACTGCTAAAAATATACTGTTCACATTTTCTTTTTCAAGAAATGGATGTTTTCAAAGTAAATGCATAATCGTTTTTAATAATCGTGATATCAATTATTGACCCAAATAATCGAGATTATGATTTTTGCCATAATCGAGCAGTCCTACGATAACCCGGGAAAAATATGGCAACTAGACACGAATACATACTTATTCAGCCTTGCTCTCTGCTTTTTATTCTTTTTCACGTTTTCTTAATCATCCTGCCGGGGTCATTTGTTTTCCTCTGTGTGGATGTTGTGAATCACATGTCCTCCAGAAAGCTTCCCTAGGATTGTTACTGTCTGAGAAGTGCTATAATGAAAATACACTGCCTTTGTGTTTATGCCGATGACAGCAGCTCATAAAATGGCTCCTTGAGGGATGTAGATTTACGCACTGTGGGAAAACTCTGGTTTATAATCAGTCAATTCATTTCTTTCTTTCTCTTAGTATGGACGGAGCAGATCTGTGTTTTGAAATTGTGAAGAGAGCTGATGCTGGATTTGTGTACAGCGAAGCAGTGGCCAGGTAGGACACACAGAGCTTTTTAAATATTAATGAACATTTTCTGTGGATGCCCCAAATGATCTCCCGGGTGTCTTGTTTCTGCTCTCCCTGCATCCAGCCACTACATGAGGCAGATTCTGGAGGCGCTTCGGTACTGCCACGACAACAATGTGATTCACCGAGATGTAAAGGTGAGATCCACTCAAAAACACCTGCTTAACTGTGGAAAACCTTTTTCATTAAAGGGTTATTTAAATGCCACAAACTCTCATATGACGTGTGAAGGAGATGATATCTTAACTGTCCGTGGGTGAAAAAAAGGTAAAATACTGTTTACGAGAAATGTTCAAACACACACACACACACACGCTCTTTGCATTATCTTCTAGTTTTTATGTGGCTTTTAGAACAAACTACTCCAGCTACCTTGAAGCCATTGCATTTTGCAAACCTGTGCGTTAAGAGTTCTTCTAGTCGGATTAGCTTCAACCAGTGATTTCAACAGGATTAGCCACCTAGGCATTAGACACTAGCACAGCAGATGGCCTCTGATCCTCACACTATCACTACCACTTGACAACTCGGTCCCCAAAGGGATCAACACGGCCTTATTTTCAGTGTAAAACCAATCGCTGTGTGCTGGGTCGAACCTGGGTGAAACGGTAGTCGCACATTCCTACTGGTGTTTGTTTGAACTCTCTTGGAGTGGCAGGTTGCTGCCTCTTAACACAATTGGAACAATGTAGCAAGACAATTTCCTCATTTCAATTGTCACAACATAAGCTGAATCTGTGAGGGGGAAGGAAGCTACATTTCTCTATCCATACTTCTCCTTTCTTTGAAATATACAAGGTCACAAATGAACAACTAATCTTCTAATGTACCAATTCTCTGATACAGCATGTATTCTTACAAATGCTTCTGTCACAGTCCACTGAAGTCATAAAATGAGAACGGAAATTCCCACGCAGAACAGGAAGTTAGAAACCAACTGGGTGATTGAAGGTAATCGGTAAACAAAACATTTATTGTTTTCACAAAATATTAAGATATGTGCATTATTCGATTTACAAAGAATTGTCCAAACAGTCCGGACTATGCTTGAAAAGTCAGATAACGTCATCCCTGTTATCCAGTAGCCGGCACCGCGTTCAGTCCTGTGCGGCGCAGGGTGGAGTTGATGATGCAGATGCTCGTCCTGGGGGTGCCCGAGGGGGTGTTAGCCATAGGCACAGAACCTCGTCTGAACTCTGTGGTCGAGCTGTTTGACGTCGCGTCATTAAGGAAGATGAACCGGTTGCGGAGTCGGTGTCCAAGCGCTCGCAGGGCGGTTTTGCGCACTGTGCCGGACAACAGGAAGTACATGACAGGATCCAAACAGCTGTTGAAGGCGGAGAATAACAGCATTATCTCATTGGTGCGGTCCACCAGCTTTAAGTAGTCACACGAGACCGCCTTGCTCAGCTGCGAGATGATGTAGACGGGGCGGAAGGCGTGGTAGGGCGCAAAGCAGATGGTGAACAGGAAGAGCACGAAGAAGGACTTCTTGGCGGTGCGCTGGTATCTGTGCGCGTTGGGAAGGTCCGGCTTGTCCTGGGACACCTTCATCAGCTGGGCAGCGATCTTGGCATAGGAGACCACCAGCATGACGAAGACGAGCCAGAACAGCAGCACCAGCACGCCGTTGAAGTAAGCCTTCCCTTTGGCTTTGCTGCTACGCTGCTTGTACTGAAAGCACTTGCCCTGGGAGTCTTTGTCCTCTGCTGTAGCAATCATGGGCACCAGCGCCACCAGAGACAGCCCCCACAGAGCGCCGCACGCCAACCAGCTCCAGTGCCGGCTGCGCCCCCACAGGGTCATCCTGACGCCTCTCCGCGCTCTGCCCTTCCCCTTCAACCTCAGGTATCTGTCCAAGCTGATGAGCCCCAGTAACGTGATACTGATGTACATGTTCATGTAGAAAAGGTTTCCCACCATCTTGCAGGCGACGGACCCCAGCGCCCAGCGGTTTCCATTGAGATGGTAGAAAACCCTGAAGGGCAGACACGCCAGGAGCACCAGATCAGCCACGGCGCAGTTTATGAGAAACACACGCACAGAGTTGCGGCTTGAATGCAGGAAAAGGAAGACCCACAGGGCGAAGAGGTTACCCACAAGCCCAAACAGGAAGAACAGGGAGTAGAGAACGGCGAGAGGCAGACGGAGGGCGTGGTCATCAAACGAACACGTAGTCTGGTTTGAGGAAGAGGAATTAGGAAGCGAGGTGTCGGTAAACATCGAAACGGGGAGGGTAGAGGTGTTAGACGAAGAAGAGGCTGACAGAGCGAAGAGTAAGGAAGAGGAAGCGGTGGTCATTGTGTCGGAAGAGTGGCGACTTCAGAGTTGTTGATCCTTTGACTCTGAGAACAAAACCAAAAAGACAATCGTCAGTTTATTAAAAAGGTTTTACATTGAAAAGAAAGTGAAGTGCCCTTTGTGACAGTGCATTTACGTATTTCATGAGTAATGCACACCCAGCTGAGTAATACGTGGGTTGTGGTGTTTAAAGGTCACACATGTAATACTGAAAATTATAGTAATTCATGTAATGCCGTCTAAAAAGGTCAAGCACCTGTACAAAAGAGGCTCGGGAAAATAAATAAATGTTTCTCTGAACAAAAATAAGTTCTTGCAGGTCAGTGGCGGATCTGGATTCACATCTAATTGCAATTTGCACGCCTATTTAACTCCTAAATTCCTCTCCCCGGTATTAAAGTAAAGCAGAGAAGTGCACGCTAATACATACGTCGAGTCAAAGCCACAGATGTTTGGATTAGAGCAGAACACTCACCGTCAATATTCCTCCTGGAGAGATTTCAGCACAGCTGCACTTTAATGTGTGGGAAAGTGTCGAGAGCTGCAGCAGCAAAGCAATCCACTGTCTGTTGAACCTCCATGAATCTGATATAATGCGAAAACCGTCCTTTTTTCTTAACTATCTGACTGAGTCACAAATCCTGCACACTCCTTTCTCACGTCCTTTTGTTGGAATCTCCTCTTCCTCCTCTCTACAGTCTTCCTCTGTAGCAGTCTGTGTCCTTCTCTATTCTCACCCTCTCCCCCCTCAGATATCTCTGTTCAGTCTGCCGCTCCTCTCTGCTTCTTGTTTTCTCTCTTCCTCTCTCGCTGGCTGCATCTCTCTAATCTCGCGCGGCCTCGGTTAACACCCCCTCCCTCAACCTTTCAATTCTCCATATTACAAGAAGTGCACAAAGTATTAAGACAGGAAGTGAGCCCACCACACTCTGCCTGGTTCATACAGTACACTGAATTCATTTGACTAAGAAGAGCAGTTTTTAATATTGCATGCCGACACTAATCTTGTCTGTTGTGCATTTGTGTGCGATGTCGCCAATAAAACATATATTTTGGCTGAGTTTCCAACAACGGTGACAGTTGACCAACTCTACAATCCCTGAAGTTCACCTAGCGCTCCGATCCCAGGACCTTATTTGTTATCGGTAAAATGCAACACCTCAGCAGCAGCTGTCCTACGGCTTCAACTATCGTGAGGCTGAGAGGCAGGGTAGTGGGGGGCACCTACATTCCCAACAGGTGGGTGTACTGGGAGCAGGTGTGGAGACCCACACACCTGGTGCTGATCACTCTGAGACAAAGCCCACAGAGTTGTTCAGTTTTTGTAAGTCGGTTAGCGGCCCGGCTACGTTAGCCTTTGTGTTTTTGAGGTGGTAGCAATAAAGCCCTTCTTTGGATTCAAACACTGCCTCTGTTGTGATTGCTGCACTACCACTTATACTTTTTGGTCAGCCCAGTCCTGTTACACTATCTAAAGTTTGAAATTCATGCATGTAACCTGATGCTTATGATCTCCTGTGTGGTGACTTCATGTTTCTCTCCATCAGCATCATCATTGAGTGTGGTCACAGCTTTGCATGTCGAGTTGTCATTGTGAAACCGTGGCTCACTAACCAGCGATCGAAGATGCTAGATCCTGCACTTTTGCACAGAGTAAAGCAATGCTCTGCACGGTTATGAAGAATTGCAGAGAATATTTGTTGGTGTCAGCAAAAACAATAATCATGCGTGTAAGCAAGTAATATTGTGCAGGGCATCTTTCGAAATGAATTTCCCCCATTTGACCTGTTGAAATGTAAAATGTGTTTGACATGTTCCTCTAACTTTGCCTCTCTTGTATTCCTCTGCAGCCTCACTGCGTGCTGCTGGCGTCGAAGGAGAACTCTGCTCCAGTGAAGCTGGGAGGATTCGGAGTGGCAATACAGCTGGGAGAGTCTGGTTTAGTAGCTGGAGGTACAGTAGGACTTACTGATTCACGCCTCCACATTGTATATCTGCATATGCTAAGAGCAACTTAAGTTTTTGTATTCACTACCCATTTAAAGAGGACATATTATGCTAATGTTCAGGTTTAAATTAGTGTTTCACTGCGCGGTAACATTTTTACATGCTGTAATGTTCAAAAAGGTATTTATTCTTCTCATAGCTTAGAGATGTCCCTCCCCTTAGCCATCACGTACAATGTGTCTGATCGTATACAACATACACGCAAAACCCTACAGGAAAGGGAAAACCCAAATCCTCGCATTTACGCCTTTGCATCCTTATACCATTAGAGAGCATTTCCCCCATGCTCTGGTTTTACAGTCACACTCCGAGTCACTGTTCTCCCTGTCTGCGCTGCTCAGGTCGAGTCGGTACTCCTCACTTTATGGCTCCAGAGGTGGTGAAGAGAGAGCCGTACGGCAAGCCGGTGGACGTGTGGGGGTGCGGAGTCATCCTCTTCATCCTCCTCTCCGGCTGCCTGCCTTTCTACGGCACCAAAGAGCGATTGTTCGAGGCTATCATCAAGGGGAAATACAAGGTATGAGCTCATTGACGGGCCGACGTCACTGTCCGTTGTGTTTCCGCCGCACGGTACGGATCCACTGGACTCTACTGACTTCTTCCAACATTCTTTATCGCGATCTGATGACAGTGGTTTACCCAATACACGTGTCTAAAAGTGTCCTCCTATGTATGCGTGTGTTTGGGTGTCTCTACTCGTGCAGATGAACCCCCGCCAGTGGGCGAACATCTCTGAGAGCGCCAAGGACCTGGTGAGACGCATGCTGATGCTGGACCCCGCCGAGAGGATCACCGTCTACGAGGCCCTCAACCACCCCTGGCTGAAGGCGAGATTACACACTCACACAGCTGCCAGTAGTACTGCTGTTTCAAAATAAATGCGGAAGTTGGAACAAGAAGCGTACATAGAAATACATTAATCTCAACAAGAGACGAGAGGATTTGTGGCAGATTTTAGGCGCTATGTAAGTACACACATAAAAATCAACAAACACTAAAATAAATATGAAATCCCAGTGTAATATACGTATCAAATAATGAGGTTAATCTAATCTAAGACATTAGACAAATAATCAAACATGAATTATCCTATTAAGTAAAAAGGGCTCAAACAAATACATTGACTGTAATTTAAGTCAGGGATTTGTTGTTCTAAAGTCAAGTCAAAATCACTTTAAAGCACGTATCGATTGAAACAACCAGACTTTATTCATATAGTCCCCCCCCCTCCTCCCTGTGTGTTTTACCCTCCTCTTGTACTGATGTGAGTATCTGTGTTCGATGTGTGCAGGAGAGGGACAGGTACGCCTACAAGATCCACCTGCCTGAGACCGTGGAGCAGCTGAGGAAGTTCAACGGCAGGAGGAAGCTGAAGGTCAGCAGAACACAGACTCAGAGATTGAATCTGATATGAGAGGAGGTGCAAACTCCTCCACAGTGTGCACCTGCTTGTCATGACCCAGATTTATGTCTGTCTCTTAACAGCCCTCATATACAGACATGTGGTTAAAAAACAACCCCACAACATTTGGCTTTGCTGAGGCTTGGTGTAAAAGCTGCTGTTCCCCTGTGTGTGTCCCAGGGTGCAGTGCTGGCAGCCGTTTCCAGCCACAAGTTTAACTCCTACTACGGAGACCCTCCAGAGGAGCTTCATGACTACACAGATGACCCCACCTCCTCAGGTATATCCCACTAAAGAACTCTATTTTAGTTGCTAACCTCTACACACAATTTATTTTCAGATTGGGCTACCTAAAAGACCATAAATGCAGTCGTTTCCATGATTCGGTTTGTATGCAAATAAGAGTTAGTTCCCCCTAAATGTGATCATCCACTGGTGTGCCGTGAGGTCAAAGATGAAGCACACATTCACTTTTCAAGTCCTTTCTATTCTGGTGGTTTCTATTCTGGTGTGTTCTCCAGCTGTCTGTGTGGCGCTTCCTGTGTTTAGATGGATACAGATGTTGCCCCACAGCCTCACTTCCCTGTCTCAGCCACAGACTTTCACTTCCTTTGAGGAAAAGAGTAAAGGCAGTACCCGTCAGTAGTTATCAGCATGCGGAAACCACCGTTGTTGTAAACTGTAGATGTAGACTACATCACCCCCTGATTAATTTGTGCAAAGCTCCTCACATCGTGTGCTGAGGTTAACGTGTAGCCGCTGCAGGTAGATGTGTTAACCCCCCACGTACGTCCTATCTGCCGAGCTGGCAGTCTGCTGCAGCTTCCTGGTGACCGGTTTATCTTTGAATGTAGCCCCGTGGACCAGAGGAAGGCTTGTAGTGTATTTCAGTAGGGCTGCACGATATTGAAAAAAACTGACATCGCGATTTTTTCCCACCCTGCGGTATATATTGCATTTTTTTTAACCTGTTAAGCCCCAAAGTCCCGGCGGGTACTTTACTTTTTTTTTTCACAACACTGTGTCTCAGGGGATCTTAATATTTAAGAACCTATTAATGTGTTATACCAAATTAACGTAAATAATCTCAGCTAACTGACGATACAAACCATTTTTACCAAAACAAAACACAAGTCTCATAAAAAGCATCTAAATGACCCCTGAGCGAAAAATGCTAACCACTTTGGCACAGAACTCAAGATAAAAGTACCCTTATTACTTATCGTAGCTGCACATACAAGATATCCGATTAAAGCTGAGGTTCCACAGATTAAAAATGATTTAATTTATAATCCATAATTCCATTTTTATGTAAAAATCGCAGAGCAAAAGTTAGCTGCTAATGGTAGCCACCAGAGTGGCTGCTGCTTCCGGTCTGAGTAGCATGAAGCTGCAGCGTCGGAGACAGCAGTTACAGGACCGCAGTTACAGGACCGCAGTTACAGGACCGCACCACGTGACGGCGGCACGTGACGGAGCACGTTCACATGAATGTGAACGTCAATGCAGAGAATGTGAGTAATGTGAAGTGCTTTTACAGTTTTATTTGTTTAACATTAATAACAATTCCGGTGTCTTGAAATGAAGTGTGATTAGCTAATATTAACTATGATAGTGTTAAGGCAATACAAACAAACATCTGTTTGCTTATGATAGCTTCTAACCGTATTAAAGTCTCTAAAAACAACTATTCGTTAGCTATAGCTTTCGGCAAAAGCATTAGCAAAAGCATTAGCTTCGTTAGCATATTTGATCATTTGTTTAATGAAACTAGCGTGATTTTGGCAAGCCCAACTAGGTGTCATAGTTGAGTAATTTAATCACTAATTACAGTAAGAGTATGAGTAATGTGAATCATGTTGTTTTTTTAAAGTTAACAACTATTCTGTTGTATTGAACAGCCATACAAGCAACAAGTGCTAAATGTCATCCGTTAGCCTATGATGACTCGCTGCAAAACCAACTGTTTTGTTTATTTGTTTAATGAAACCGTATGTTATGGTTATGTTATTTGACAGAGGCTTGTATCCAAAGTGACTCACAAAAAACATAAAATAACCATAATTAACATTAGAATTTCAATACAAATAGTTACATAGTCAAGTTACATTACTTATTACATTTTTAACAGGGTAATTACTCATCTGTAACCTACTACATTTAAAAAAAGTAAACTTCCCATCCCTGATGATTAATTATAGTCAGCTAATTAATTAAACTTCAACGGATGACAAAAGCATGTCAATATGTCCACTACATTAAATCAGCAGTAGCCTAAGTTCTGTCTTCAGTGTAAATGCTTCTTTAATAGTCATTGTATTACAATTTGAATTCATTGTAAATAATCTTCACTGTGCTGACTGCCTGTTTATCAGACAGTCTCATCATTTCGACATGTTTTGTAATATTGCATGAGGTGTTTTAGTCAGTTATGTCGGCCTATTATGTAGGTTAGAATCTGTCGTGTCAGAATCTAACAATTAGGCCTAATTTATGTCTGTCTGTGAAATTGTTTCAAAATGTTCAGTTTGACCAATTAGGCTCTCTCTTTTTCAAGATGCATATTACAATCCGAGAGGGGGAGATCCTTGCCCGACTTACAGCGATGTACTCTGGAGGCCAGAAGCTTGCTGGAGGGAACCCTTCAGCCAGTGTTCAGAGTGCCACGACAGGTTATCTCCCTAGAGAGGGAACAGCAGACCCCGCCTCACCCCCAGTGAAGAAACAGCAGACCCCGCCTCACCCCCAGTGACTGACCCATCTGATTTAATATATATGTCAATATATCACATTTTACTCTATGAGCTCTGCCAAAACTGCCTGACAGCAGACCCCCACAGTGTGGAAATAAAAATAAATAAAAATGTATTCTGAAACAGTGTTTAACAGTGTTGTTTTCTTTTTAATAATAATGAAACAGTGTTGTTTGTTTAATATACATATAAACATTCATGTGAACGTGCGTTGACCGTCACGTGCCGCCGTCACGTGGTGCGGTCCTGTAACTGCGGTCCTGTAAATGCTGTCTCCGACGCTGCAGCTTCATACTATTGTCCGGTCTTGGCTATGCGGCAGTCCAGCGCAGTCCACACACACATTACCAAATAAGGAGTTAGAGTGACGCGTAGCCAAAACCGGAAGCTGCATACACTCTGGTGGCTACCATTAGCAGCTAACTGTTGTGCTCCGATTTTTACATAAAAATGGAATTATGGATTATAAACAATTGCTTCAAAGCCACAGATACATTAACAACCTATGGATCAACCGATTCAGCCGCGTTTTTTCTCGTTTTAATGCCATTGAACACGTCTTTTGATCAGATTGACAGCTACGGTGAGACGATCTCCCGTAAAAGGTACGTGTTGTGATGTCTGTGTTTGCTTCCCCTGTTGCGAGATCGGATCGTTTAGATACTATACTTAAATAATCTGTGGAGTCTCTGCTTTAATCGGATATATTGTATGTGCAGTTTCGATAAGTAATAAGGGTATCTTTATTTTGAATTCTGTGCTAAAGTGCGTTAGCATTTAAAAACAAAAATGAATAAAACCGCACGTCCCTGCGGTGTGAATATCGCGCATGCGCATATCGCGGTTATCGCCATGACACGGTATATCGTTCAGCCCTATATTGCAGTGATTTGACTTTATTGGAGACATACCCCATAAAGTCTGGTTTTCATGTGAATTAATCAACAAAGGTTTATTATTATTAAAAACTGTTAGTTGTTTTTTTTGTTAGTAATTTTTTTAGCTTATTTTTACAATGTTATTTTCATAGTGTTTTTACAATATATAGTTATTTAATACAATGTTCACAATATTTTCTTCTTAAATATATACAACATTTCTGACAGCATATATATTAAGGTATATTTCGAAATTTTCTTTACAATATTGTTCCAGTAAAAATGTATTTTTCAGAGTAACTTTTCATGCAGTTTTTATCACAGTGTTGAGGTTAGTTTATATTAGCTTTAAAAGTGTCAGGCTTGACCGTAGAAATGCAACGACTCCACGCGCTTTTCCATGGTCATTTGACCAGGTCATAATGAAATAGCTTTAGCTGTTGGGTGGCTAACGTTTTTTATAAATAAAAACTGCACGACAATATTTCCCTGAGCCCTGTAGTACTGCACCCCTCATTGTGGGACCCTGCTGTAGTCGCAGAGCTTTCCTAGTTGTGCTGCTTTTTGCGAATGTTCCTTTCTGATTTTCCAGTCTGCTCCTTTTGTTATCCCTTTGCTTCCTCACACTGACTCTGTAGTGTCTCTGCCTGTTCTCTCTTTACTTTCTCTGTGGGTTGTTACATCTTTAGTTGCACTGCACCTCTTCTAATCTTTGTTTGGTGTTGTTTTTCTTCTGCCGTGCTGTCTGTAGGACTGCTAGCTGCTGAAAGTACGTATCCCTCTCCCCGCCTGCCATTAGACTCATGATTTGCAATGTCATCATGACGCTTTTTAGCTGCATGTATCCCTCTGAGTGTTAAATGAATGGGTTATAATCCTGCAACATGGCTCCCTCTGTCTCCCTCTCTCCTTCTCTGGAATTCTCTACTTTAACCCTAATGCTACGTTTTGACCTGTGATTATTACATTCATTCTTGTTATTCCATGCACGAGAATCCGTCTACTACATACTGTGATTGTTACTTTTTCCGATTAGCAAAACAAGAGTATAACATTTATTTTAAAGTGCAGCACATTTGACAAGTCATCATCAGCACATTTTATTACAGTGACTGTAATAAGTTGACTGACTGTTCAGTCTTTCAAACGGATGGTGCAGAATAATTGTGAGCAGGAGAACATTATTATTTAGTTGGATTAATTTCCTAGAGAAATACAGTACTTTACTCTATTATTGATCTGTACACGTCTGTGTTTAAAATATTTTTCTCTAATTGGATGATGCATGTAAACAGACGTGCAACAAGATTTTCCTAAAGTAATTAACACCTGAAAACTATATAAAAAGATTCTCGTGTCACGCCTCACAGTAATTATTCATTCAAACCCCCTCATTAGCCCAGCAGTCCACCTCTTTGTGAATGGGATGATTCTCTACACGTGCATCTGTTATTCCAAAGAGTATTTGATTGTTAGGCAAACGCAGACTCTGTTGATGTCGGGAAAACTACTGGTTTTATGGCTAAATATCTTAATGAACGTTCAAATATTTCCGCTTCACTTTGCTTTCTAAGAATAGGTCAATTTTCCTCCCACTGTCATGTATTTGTTCTAATATTCTGCATTTTTCCTGGGCTTACTGCTCGTCACCCATCCTCCACACTGTGACTTTTTTGAAGTGACTTTCCTCTGATGTTTTTATTGATGCCGTATACCGCTGTTTCTCTGGTTTTGGTGCATGTGTGGGCGATGCAGCAGGTACTTGGGGTTAAATCGTTCTGAGTGTGTGTGTACTCTGTTGTGATGTCTTGCTTGTCTTTTTCTTTGTGTTCTGCTTTAGTTTTTGCTTGTTGATGTTCAGTGTTTTGCATTTTGTGTAGTTTTGCGAGTGTTTGCAGCGACTGCTGGGTGTAACAGTGGGCGTGTGTTTCATTGTATTTATAAGAGTGTATAACATGTGTTTTCAGGGGCAGTGTCGCAGGTTTTGGACAGTCTAGAGGAGATTCATGCCTTGACGGACTGCAGCGAGAAAGACATGGACTTCCTGCACAGCGTCTTCCAGGACCAGCACCTCCACACCCTGTTAGATGTGAGTAGAAATCCCAAAAGCGACCGGTAGGGGGCATCACAAGTCAAGAGTTAGCTATTGTCACTATTAGTCTTTAATGCACCTTTAATGTACTAGCCTGTACAATTCATATTGTGTGGGGTTTCCTTGTCTAACGAGATGAACTGCGCTTACTTGTCGTTTCAGCTCTATGACAAAATCAACAGCAGGTCGTCCCCTCAGATCAGAAACCCTCCGAGTGACGGAGTGCAGCGAGCCAAAGAGGTGAGGAACCGGCTGCTCGTTTTCACGAAATAAACACGCAATTCAATCTGGGAAACACATTTAAAACAGGGATCTCATTGATGTCATTTCAATCACTAGCTGAGATCATTTTTGGGGATCCTAAAAGCTTTCTAGGTTTCTAGTTGACACCTGTTTCTCCTTTATTTTTCCTCACCAGGTACTGGAAACGCTCTCCTGTTACCCCGAGAACATGGAGGCCAAGGAGCTCAGGAGGATCCTCACACAGCCACACTTCATGGTGGGGAAAGATGTATTAGATGTAGATATTTTTTGTCCCATGTGCACTCAAAGCATACAGTACTGGGGCGGGAGATTACAACATATGGTGTCAGAAAATAGGGTTCTCGCAAAGTCCACAAAGCTCCTTAGCACCTGAGCCGGGAGAGGGAAGAGAGCCGAGGAGGAGGCAGGAGGAGTTTTGTCAGATGAGTGTAGAGGCTGAAATGGACAAGAAGGACAATTAAAGAGTATATTTGGATTTAAAGCTGATGCACTTGGACGCCATGTTAAGGTATAACTATTGAGAAAGAGTTTGGCCCGTGTTGAGTGTAATTTCAAGAGTGTTTTAATGCATGTACAGTCGTCTGTATTGCGTTTGTTTAATTTGTTGTCACTTGCAAAATTGAACTGCAGCTAAATGTCGAACGGTACTATCTATGCAACTATAGGGAGCCCACATAAAGGCCGATTCAGTCACAGCGCCAGGGGTTCGGTTAAATCCAATCAGCCCGCGTTGCTCTTTGACCCGACTGGCTGCCACAGTGCTTTAGTAGAATGGATGTGAAGGGTTTAAGCATGGTAGCACATAAGGCTAGCACACCTCACTTACAGATAATTAGCCTTTACATGTTTTTGTGTGTAGCGTTGGATTCCAGTTATGACCCAAGGAAATACTTTGTTCTTCGTTATCGTCAAGCAGCCACAGTGATGTTCACCGCCTTAACGAACACGTTGTCTCTGCGGTGAGCAGATGTGACTGTTTGGCACACGCAGCGTGTTGCCGTGTTTGTGAAAACACTCAGTGTGTCAGTGACACGATTAGTGGCCGGAGAGGATTAGTGTGAGCCACATGGTTCAATGCTGGAGCTCTCCACATGGCCGTGTGTGTGTGTGTAGTAACACGTTGTTGGAGTGTTTTCTGCTGTAGTTGTTCAGAGCAGCTTGGGATTGTAGTCCAAAGTCTTTCCTCAACATAACAGTTGTTGACATGGCCTGTGGCTGTCCTCTTGTGTTTACAGCATGGTGTAATTACTGGCAGTAGCAATAGACTTCACTGCTATAAAAAAAACAGACTTACTGACCATTAATGTGTGTGTGTGTGTGTGTGTGTGTGTGTGTGTGTGTGTGTGTGTGTGTGTGTGTGTGTGTGTGTGTGTGGTGTGTGTGTGTGTGTGTGTGTGTGTGTGTGTGTGTGTGTGTGTGTGTGTGTGTGTGTGTGTGTGTGTGTGTGTGTGTGTGTGTGTGTGTGTGTGTGTGTGTGTGTGTGTGTGTGTGTGTGTGTGTGTGTGTGTGTGTGTGTGTGTGTGTGTGTGTGTGTGCACACAACCCAGGCTCTGCTGCAGACTCACGACGTGGTGGCCCACGAGGTGTACAGTGACGATGCGTTGAGGGTGACCCCCCCGCCCACCTCCCCTTACCTGAACGGAGACTCCCCAGACAGCACCAACGGGGACATGGACCTGGAGAACGTCACCCGGGTCCGCCTGGTCCAGTTCCAGAAGAACACAGACGAGCCCATGGTGCGTTGACCAGCAGATTGTCACATACGGATACATGCACAGTCTTTCTTTTCAACACCCAGTTAACTTTTGGAAACATGTACCGGCAGTAAATATTTAGAAGAATCCAGATGTAATGATTTTTAAACCCCGAGTAGGGCTGCCGTGCTTGTCCAACG